GAGCTTTGATGAATGTGTGTTTTGATTGCTCCGTCGCTGGTACTGTTTGGTCTTTGACACTGTCAGGCTTATATGTTTGGGAGTGCTAGTTAGTTAAAACCTATGAAGTATAGAGGCACCTGTAATTCCACTTAGCAACCCTCCTGTATCACAGCATAGTGGACATCAGAGCACAAAAAAGCAAAGTAACTCACTCGTTCATGGCAAATGTTCTGCTGCAGATGTAAGGACAGAAGACAGCAGAACAAACTTCACCTGTACTGCAGAGCACTGGCCCCGTCTCCTCGTGATTCTGGTTTGTGGGTGATTCCTACAAGACAAAACCAGTCTCCTGGTTTACTTGGTTTACTCAGGTAAACCAAGTTTACTCAGGACAGCAGTTTGCTTTCACACAAAGGTGAAAGGTTTTAGACCTGGTGATGTACAAAGAGTGGTAAATATTTCTTGCGTGCTAAGCCTTGTTATGGTCAGACAGTAGCTCTAAGTCCTATGAATCCCAAGTAGCCAAGCTGGCTTTATTAACAGCACAGTTAGAAGCCAGGTCACAGCTCCCTGCAAGGAGCTGTGTTTCCATGCAGCACTACCCTGCTCCCAGCCCTCCCCTTGCAGAAGGACCAGCAGTGAATGCCACATGTCCTGGAATAGAGTTGCTGCGCATCTGCTCCGTGTGTTGCTGTGAGTTTATTGTGCAGCCTTGGTATATTCAGTAGAGAAATACTCAAAGGTATTTCACAATTACCAGTTTATCCCAGGTGAAATCAAATGAGAACTGTAAATCTGGAAAGTAAACAAGATGGGAACTTCTATTTCCTTACATTTTTTGCTATTGTAAAACTAAAGTAACAGATTTCTTCTTCCTGAGAGTTTTGTTCTGACCCTGAAATTGAGGATGTTGGGCAGGAAATGGGAGAGGCATGGTTCCAGACATGGAGAAACACATGCCTCGAGGAAATCCGTCTGACAACTGCCCCTGCCTGCTGCCTTGCATATTGTCATTGTGAATGCAGAGAGCTGATGGAACAGGGACAACAGCCGCAGGTTGAGTTTTGAGTTTTGTTCCACATCCACATCTGTTAAGAATTCCTAAATTCTAGATCTTTGATCTAGATCTAGATCTTCTAAATCCTAGACTTTTTAAAGCTCACATCTAAACAGGTAGTAATAAACAGACTGCCTTGCTTAAAGGTTATTCTTCTTTAGTTGTCATGCATATTATATATGCAACTTAATAACTGTGTGCAAATTCCAGACTAAATCCACTACAAAAAATCTAATTGTGAAGATTACTGGACTCAGTAATAAATCAGTTTTAGTTTTTGCTGTAACTAAGAAAGAAAATATTTTCTTTCTGTTTATGCTTTTGACTTATTTTTATTCTAGATCTAGCAATTCAATTGTTTGGATGACACTTCAAAAAAAAAGGTTCTTTGCAACCATTGACAGTGTTGAGGTGAGAGACAGAGGCAGCTACAGAGAACAACTTCAGAGGACAGGGCTGTGAGAACACAGGGAAACAAGCAAAATGTGGAGTAGTCTGGGCAAGTGCAAGGTGTCCCTTTGTGTGCCAAGTGGGACAATTATCAATTGTGTGGGTCATGAGAAAGGATTTGTCCTCCAATTGGTTCCAAATTGCTACCTAGAATAGGTGGCTGCAGCTTATTTCCAGAGTTTGAGTTTGCCTGGGTGTTCCAGCACACTCCACAAGGCAGTGCAGTGTAAATTAAGGTAGCACAGCGGGGTTCACCCTTCTTTTCTGGAGAGGAAATGCATCAGAGATGAAATTGGCCTTCAGGTCATAGTAAGTGTGAGAAAGAGGACTGAATTCCGTAACACTTTTCTGGTCTAAATCTGGAATAACAATTGCTTTAAGGCAGGTATTGTTACATAGATGTGCTGTAAGGGGGTTGCATTTACATGTCCAGTTGTAATCACCGTGCAGCAGACTTTGACCCAGGCTGTGTGCAGAGCAGTACATGCAGGTGCATTTCAGGTGCTCCGTGGCTCTATTTCCTTCAAACAGGGAAGAAGGGTGTAACAATTCCCATCCGAGGTTTTGCATCCACTTCTAGAGCATCTCAGGAAATTAAACTTTAGATTAACCTAGATGACTTCTCTCTCATAAATTTTGTTTAAAATTTATAGATAGCTTCAGTTATCTACTGTTATCTCAGTGTCTGTTACTATCTCAAACACCGCTTCTCTTTGCTTTGTGTGCCACGGGGCTTTCCCTTCTACTTCCAGTGAAGGAAGTTCAGAGCTTTATACAGCAGTGTGTTTGCAGTCTCATCTATCTACTCATTGGTGTCTTACGTAATGTTCTCGTTATCCATCTTTATCATAAACATGGTAATCCTTTTGCTTCTACATCGCAGGTTCAACAGTGACCACTCTTGATTCATATAACTCACAGCAAAGCCTCCATCTGTCTCATGGATTATAGATCTAAATTGGTAACTATCGCTTGCTCGCCATACTTATTAGAAGTTTTGTTAACTGCTCAGTGTGTTTTCTGCTTCTGATAAATCTCTCCTGTAGCCCTAGCATATAAGACCTTAAGGTCACGGCCTTATTTCCTGTATGAGCTTTCGTCTTAGGACAGCATGTATTGGCTGTAAAATCCCATTAGTAGATAGAGATCTAATTCAGAATTTAGTTTAAGTCATGAAATGGAAAAAAAAAAACAAACCCAACACTTTTATTTTTTCAGACAATAGAGCACATAAAGGAGTGGGTTTTTATAATAGAGAGTTAACTTATTTGTGCAGCTTGTGATCTGGAATATTTTTAATGTAGACATACTTCTTAATACTTTCTTGGGAAAAACAAACAAACAAACAAATTATTAATAAGTCTATTGAAAAGAGGTTATGCTGCATGTGAGTAATGTCTCCTGTGGATTGCTGCTCAGTCCTGAACAGAAGGGGTGAAGAAGCCTTCTGGTTTAGCTGCTTCTTTGTTTCTTCCCTACCATGTACCTTACAGCATGGTTTCTGTCATCATTTGTATCATTCTCAGATATTCTCAGCTCCTGACCGCGTTCCTGTGAGCCTTGGCAGACTGCTGATCTATTTGTCTGTAGTCGAGAGTGTTGACTTCAATACTACGTAATTCTTTTTTCTGCCTCTACCTTTATTTAGCCTCACTATTTTTGCTTTTAAGTGAGTATATCTGGTGATCTTTTTCTCTTCCTTCCACATGTGTCAGTGACTGTGGATAGCCAGGAGTCAAACAGGTACAGCTGTGCTTGTGACTGTGCCTCTCCTCTTGTTCCATGCTGTTACCACTTAGTCCTTTTAAATCATGTACTGCCTTTTTTTTCTGTTCTTTGTTGGCTGATCCTGAGTGCAGAAGCAGTAAGATGGAAGTAAGAAAAAGGAGGTTATTGTCTCTGCAAAAAGGATGATTTGATGATGACAAAACAGTTAAGCAATTGTTTTTAAATTGCCACTGGTATATAAACACAAAGCATTTGTTGTAAATGTCCGTTTGGGCTTTAGACATAAAGCAGTAACAAATATTAAGAGATGCTGCAGCTGTCAGAATTGCACAGTATGTGTAGTATAGAGAGTGCATATAGATTGATCAAGTTAATACTTCAGATATTTCTTTCTCTGTAGTTTTAAGTGCCCTCGATGCGAACCTATTTTGTTGTTAAGAGGGGTGGCTGAGGGCAGGCAAGGAGACCCTCCCAAAGGCAGGAGAGACACTGACTGAGAAGAGTGTTCTTTGGTGGCTAATAAGCTCTGATTAAGATTTTGTTGTACGAGTTTGAGGCTGAGATGCCTTAAGTTGCACTAGGAGAGGTTCAGGTTGGATAATAGGAAAGATTCCTTCTCAGCAAGACTAGTGATGCAGTGGTACAGACTGCCCCATGAGTGTTGGGGTCACTGTTCCTGGAGTTGTTCCACAACTGGGGCAACGTGGCACTGAGGGACACAGTCAGTGGGCTTGGGGGCTGGGTTGGGGTTGGACTGGGTGATCTTAGAGGTCTTTTAGCACTGTAATGATTCGATGAACTTCCTCTCGGTGGCTTAGGGACTGCCATCCCACTGCTCAGTGCCCTCTGCTTGGCTCCCCAAGTTGTGCTGCATCAGGAGCTGAATCAACTTCGGAAGCAGCTCAGCAGAACAGGAGAAATAAAAGAGGAATTATTTTCAGCTGGGGTCTGCCTGTTCTCTGAACCAGCTCATTGTGGAGTCCTGACAAGGAAAAGCCTGAAGCAACAAGAGAGTGAGAGGAAGGTTGGGATGAGGATTAGGAGAAAGAAATTGGGAGACTTGGCTTGATGATTTGAGCACAAATTCTGAGGCAGCCCTTTGAAGGCTTTCAGCTCGAATGCTTGTTGAATGCAGCTTCAGTAATGATGTGCTATCAGGAATTAGTATTGCTGTCCTTGCAGTTTCACTTCAGTGATCAGAGGAGGAGAAGGAGGAAGCAAAAGTCAAATTCAAGCAAGGAGGTGGAATTCTCTTTGAAATGTTTGTGCTCCAGCACTGCCTGTGATGTTACAGAACCTGCAGCACCTCGTGCACAGCCCAGCCACCAGCGCCAGGCAGCGAGAGGTGTGCTTCTATGGCAACTGCGCTGCGTCCTCTGCAAGTATCCTCTGATCTTATTTTCTGCATTGTGCCTCTAACAAAGCTGCTCCAGCTGGTCGCCTTCTGCAATTGGTTTTTTAACTGGGATTGGAGAGTGGCATTTGTAGCCAGGTATGCTTTTGATTAGAGCAATCTAGGGGGGTAATGGAAGCAGCAGTGTATCATTTAAAAGAATGGCTTGGAGTTTGCAGGTGGTTTCCATAAAGGTGGTAATAGGAAGAAGACACTGATGGGTGGAAAACTATCTACCTCTAAATCTTTAAATTGCTCAAGCTTTTAGTAATGAAGTCATCTCGTTTTTCCACTCATGGAGACTTGAAATGGAGGAGTGGAGAATTTGTTTTTTTTTTTCTTGTTATCAAGTGCAGGTGCATCGTCAATGGTACTTGTGGAATTACACCTCTGTATGAGGAAAAGAAGTTATTCAGAGAACTTTGCATTGTTCTTCAGCTCAGTGATGGCACAAATCAACTAATCTGGATTCCTAATTTCTGCAGCTGAGACTTCTGAGATTTGAGCTGGGGCAGTGAATGTGTGTGCCTGAGTGTGTGTGTCACCTGGATGCTGAGATGTGTTAGGAACTACAGGAGATGAATAGAAGAGCACTTTTCTGATGTGCTGGTGAGAAGAAAATTTGTACTTGGGTTGTTTTGGAGCGTTTGCAAAGCACTGACTAGCAGCTGAAGTTAAGAACTGTGTGTATCAGGGCTGGATTGTATCCTGCAGAGAACTGCTTGTGGGAAGACGTGACTGCAGTGCAGCTGTTGGGTATCAAACTGCTGCTGGAGCTCTTCAGAGCTGTCCTCACAAACCTGTGAAAGGTCTGTGTGGCCCTTTCTGTGTGGGAATGTTGCAGGTGTGTAATCAGAGATAAAGCAAAACCAGCTCAGTTTAAACTTAAATAAAACATGCACAGCAATTTGTTTCCCCTCTGCTGGGAACTTAATTTAAACTGGGATATCAGCTTAACCTGGCTTTTGGACAGTGTTTTGGGTTTAAGGCTTTTTAAATACAGTGGAAATTAATCACTTTTTTCAGCAAGTGAAATCCAATGTGTGAGTGAGATTTGATAAGAAAGTGGACAAGCAGCTGCTTATCAGATCTGAGCTGCTGTTGCCCCTGTTTGCAGGAAGCCCTGACTGCTTATAAGGAACCAAACCTTCATCTGCTTGACAGCGGATTGATTTTGAAACAGCCTCAATGATCAAAACTGTGGCATGTTGCAGGGTGAAACTTCCTTCCTCTCCTCTCTGTCAGTTAGTTCAGTCTGTTTCGTTGTCTTCTGCTATGGGACAAATAGAGGTGAAAAGGCAGAGGTTTGTCTTCTCCTGCTGAGTGCTGCAGCTGTGAAGCTATAGAGAAGCCCAGGTTTGCTTGGTGAGCTGAGGCTGTGTTGAGGTTTTGGACTCTGCAATTACGTTTTGGTTTCTGAATCCAGTTTAGGATCACAAGAGGATGAGGAGTCTAAGGCTGCATCTTTCATCTGCATTTTCTCATGTTCCCCAACTCTCTGCTCCCTTTAGATGATCTAAAGGGATCATCTACCTTTAGAAATACTGCCTGCAGCATTTTATCATGTTCTGTTTAATTGCTGTCTTGGGAGTAGGTAGCTCTTGGATGGATTTGAGGCTGATAGCTAAAATTTCTTTTGTCAACTGTTTCATCTTCTCCTGTTGCCAAGGTTTTATATATATATATTTTTCTTAATCTGTAAATATGGAGGGTAGAACTTTCATAAGTATAAAAATGATGGTGGTGCATGAGCTAAAAATGCAGATTTTCCCTAGCAGTCTTAAAAAGAATTATTTAGTTTCACCTGCCTCACTGGCTGCTCCACAAACAGCATAGCTGGATGCAATGTCAGAGATTTTAGTTCTTGTTGCACTACTTATTTATGGGAGCAACAGAGATGGCAAGCTGCCACTGGAGTAAAGAGTGCTGTTTCCCCAGTACTATCAGAACAGTCTGCAGTATCCATCTGTTAGTCTCCTACATACAGAGCAGTGCAACAGGTGTATTTCTTGGGTCTGGAGATCTTAGAACCAAGAGAGGATAGCAGAAATTTACAGGCATTATTTAAAAGAAGTTTTCAAGGTATGTTGCTCTTCCTTTAGTAGATGTAGTGCTTAAGTCATTAGAAAGAAGAGAAGCTGAACATACGGTATGCAATTAAAGGAAACAGGTTCTGAACTGTCCCTTTACAATGTTTGTCTTCTTTTTTTTTTCCAGATGGCTTCAGTAACAGATGCCAGATACAGGCAGAAAGATACTTCGGATCAGAACTTTGATTACATGTTCAAACTCCTGATCATTGGGAACAGCAGTGTGGGTAAAACATCCTTCCTCTTCAGATATGCTGATGACACTTTCACGCCAGCCTTCGTCAGCACAGTAGGAATTGACTTCAAAGTGAAAACAGTTTATAGGAATGATAAGCGGGTGAAACTGCAGATTTGGGTAAGTGCCAGCATTTTCAACAATATCTCATACTAAACCCAGCAAAGACATCACAGAACTAGCTTGCTTGGAGATTAGATTGTTGTTATGAACAACAAAATCTGTATTAATATGTTTCGTGTGGCTTTTTTTTTTCTTTTTATTCCTGCAGCATAGCTTTCTCTTCTTAAGTTCTCTTTGTGTTGCTGCTTCAGTTGACTGATAAGACTCTTGATTTTGGTCTTAAGCTGATGCTTTTCAGTGTCAGGGGTCAATGTATTATTAAACTGAAGAAAAACCCAAAGCAAATCATTAGCCTTTTCATAGAACCTTTTGAGTGAGCTCTTGTAGGTAAAAAAAAAAAAAAATTCAGTGAGCACTGAGTGAGTGATCTCTAGACAGAGCTTCTGCTGTCACTTTAATCCCCCTTGAATAAGGCAGTGGGACCTTCTTGCCTCAGAGATATGCTTCAAACTGCCTTGACAGAAATGGCTTCTTGGTGAATCAAATGGGAAGAGAGTTTGTGCAGGTGAGCTAGAGGGCCTGTCTGCTCATGGCTCCTTGCCTGACATGAATGACAGCCTTCTGGCCCAGTTTAAAAAAAAAATAAATAAAACATTCCTGGGCTTCAGAGTTCCAGAGTGGAGGATCGAGGCCCAGCAATTGTGTCAACAGCTCATTACGTTCCCTTTCATGGAAAGCAGGTGTGTTCTTTCATTCTATAGAGTTGCAAATGTCTTCAATTGCATTTGTACCATAGTGTTTGTCCTGACAGTCCTTAACTCTCTGTGTCCCAATGGATTATAGAGTGTGTTTAAAAAAAAAAGCCCAAACTTGCATTGACCTATTTCAGAGTACCATGGGGCTCCAGCTGCAATTCCAGTTAGCAAGATTCTTCTGTTTTGTGTAAAAAGAAAACATCTGAAATAAGATATCAGGCTGCCTTTCTTTCAAATGATTTCCTGGAGCTAGCTCACCAACATGAAACAGCTGTTTTGTGGTTTCTCCCGCAGATTTAAGCTTAAAGGTCAGAATTGAAGATTAGTTGAAACTGTATAGCATTTCTACCTAAACCCTATCGCAGCCAGCTAAGGTCAGTCTTCTAATTGAACTATGAAGCTTAATTTATAATTTGATCTCTTACTACTGCATCTAAATCACCCTTTTCATTGTGACTATTTTGAATCCAGAGTGAGAATCTACACTGCAGAAATGTATTATTGTTTACTGCAACTGTATGATTCATTTTATGTGTTGCTGGGTGTTGGAAATATCCAGATAATTTTTGTCAGGACGGTATCTCTGATACAAGCCGATTGTATTTGCGATCGCAGTGGTGGGCGTCCAGCAAGCAGGAGCAGCCCTAAGGCCACAATGACAGCTTTTCTGCCTTGTTTCCCCCTTTGCCATGTTTGAGGATTTCAGGCAAATCCTTAATTCAGATAAAAAACCTTAAACTTAAGAAAAGATATGCCAGGCCTTTGTAGGTGCAAGCTGTAGAAGCTGTGATACTGGAGTTAACCAGCAACACTATTGATTTAAAATTTATGTTCAGTAAAAGGTTCATGTAAGTGCTTGACAGTTTCCAGACTGACTTGTGCTCTTCTCTATTTCTGTGTTCCTTGTGTGGATCCCTGATGTGAGCTGTGGTTTAAGGACCTGAAACAGAAACTTTGTGTTTACTGCTCAAGGACAAAAAAACCCACAAAAAACAACAACAAAAAACAACCCCATGGAAAACATTATTGGAACTTGTTTGCTCCCTTCCTGTCCTAATTGCAATTTCAGTGTATTCTTCTGGTTGCATGTAGTAGTGTGGAGCCGGTAGCGTACCAAAACTACGTTCCTGTGTGCAGGAATGAGGAATCTTTCTACCAGCCTGTCCACTGATTTACTTTTTAAAATGATTTACAGCTGTTATTGAGTTTCTGTGTGTGTAGTTACCCTTAATGCTTTATTTTACTTGTAACTTCCCAGTTATGTTGGCTTCTTAACATTGGTAAGTCTGAACTGAATCAGATTTAATCTGAAACTAAGAAAGGAAAGAGAAGGTGCAGGTCTTTAAAGGAACCATTTCAAATGTCTGCATAAAAGCAAGAGAGGAGCACTTCTAGGATCACTGCTCTGAGCAGCTGCCTCTCAGTCCGTGGGTGCCTGCAGGTCTCTGGGAAGTGGATGCAGCTGCAGCATGCTCAAGGGGCTTTGCACAAGCAAGCTGGCTTTATGTCATGTAAATCTCAAGGCTGGGGAAAGTTCCCATGTCTGTCCTGCGTCACAGTCCAGAATGATCAGTGGTCTTTGAGACTTCCTGCGTTGACTCTTGCCTGTGCTGGTCAGAAAAGCAGGATGTTTGGGTGCAGGGCCCAGCTACCTGGAGATCCTTGGCTTTTCTTACAGGTAGGGAAACCTTGTACTGCTTGAAGTGCCAACCTGTCAGGTATCATGATCAAAGATGAGATCTGCACTGTTTAATTTTAACATAATTACTGGGCCTTTCACTTTGGCATTAAATTCTCAATTACTCAAACTGATATTTTAAAAAGGCTTCTTACCAGTTGTGCCACTGACTGAGTGCCCTGGGAGATGACCCGTTTGTTTGAACAGACTTGAAAGGAAACTCTCTTTCTCTTGAGTTGGGGATGGGAGGAATGGGACCCATCAAAGGTATTTGTGGTGTGATAGCTCTGCTGCCAGAGAACAAAACAGTAAAATGCTCCTGAGAGGGATCGTAGGGGATAGTTCTGTTTTCTTTTTTTTTCTTTAAAAGAGAACTGTAAGATCACTTGATTGTGTTTTAATTTCAGATCTTTCATGTCTTGCTTTGGTGATTTTGATGTAAATTGCATAAAAGCCCTTTACTGAGGAAGTTCACATTGTAGCTGGATGAGGTTCGCTAATTATCCTTTCTAAATTAAACTATTATTTATGTAAATATATTAATATTATGTAGAGTTTCTAATATCTGCATAAATATAGTTCTAGGATTAGACACTTTTTACAGCACTGCCAGCTGTAATAATAGTTCCACATAAAACATCTCCCTAACTATATATTTGGGAGCTGCTTTATTATCCCTCTCTGTATGTGTGCTGTACACGTGGCTACTTTTGTTCTTGACCATTGGTTTTGTTTTCCCAGAGCTGCTAGTTAGTGATCAGAAAGGAAAGCTGTTACAATTTCAGATATTCATTTTTTTATTATGAGTAAATCTCAAAGGCAGCATTATTACATCCTTAGCAAACACATACAGTTCCCACTAAATGCAGTGCTCGGGTTGCCTAGCAGCTAAGACAGGGCCACTCTGGCCAGATGCAAGTGGAAGCAAGGTGAATGAGTAAAAGGTTTTGGCTTCAGGTGAGAGCAGTGAAAGATTTGTTTTTCTTTTTCCTTCTGCACATTTTGATGTCTACTGATAATGACAGCACAACTTTAGAGCAATGTTGTGCTGAGGGGACAAAGTCTGGTCCTTCGCTGGCTCAATCTAGGTTAATTCCATAGCTCCTTGCATAGCAATGTAGATTGACTGATGGAGAATCAGTGTCAGTGTTGAGCTCCAAACATCTGCACACCGTGCCGCTTAGGGCACAGCGTGGTGAATGATTTGTGTGAGGAATTTCATTGAGCTTTGTTGTACTTCTGTACAGCACCCTACACAAGTCTCATTTTTGTTGCGTGTGCTGTAAGTATATAAATGTGATTAATAAAAAACATAACTAAATACAGACTTTGGCAGCTGGTATCACAGTTGAAATTATTTGCAGCCCCCTTCTTAAGCAATTTCAGGCTAAATTTAACTTCAGACTGAAAGGCAAAAAGGATGTGCTGTTCAGAGACAACATTGGTCCCTTTCAAATAAGTCTTGATTCTATGATACAGACTACAGTATGATTTATTTTTTTTTAAGGTGCTGCTTATCAGACTTAAACTCCTAGGATGAGTACAGCTTTCTCTTTCTCATTAACAAAACTATTTCTGTGGCTTAATTGCTGAAACCTGCAGGGGTCTGTGATGCTGGAGTGGATGTCTGGGACATGTGCTCTGGGGAAGAGGGTACAAAGCACCATTGCTCTGTATTTTTGGGAAGGATCTTTACCAACAGAAATATGACAACTGTTAATTATGCTGCTTGGCAGTTACCATTACAACACAGGGAAGCGTAAGCCAAAATAAAGGCCAAGCTGTGCAGCCATCTCCAAGGCAAATATGCAGTGTTTTAAAAAAGCTTTTTGTGTCAGTTGTTGCCTGGATGACGGGATGTTGCTGTGCAGCTCTACTCACAGGGCAGAGATTCTAAAAAGTAACGCTGGTAATGAGGTTCACTCTTTCATTTAAAGGAGGTAAATTTAGAACACCATCATACTTGATTGTAAATTTTAATGTTAATTGCACACTTAAGCTAACGCTGATTATACATTTCAGATGAGAGAATCATCTATTCCCCTGGCATCCTATTTCCATCTCGTTTTTGATAAGATCCTTATTAGTACTGGCTTTAAACTCTAGTGCCTGCACAAAGCTTGTTTCTAAAAAAAGATGAGTTCTGTAACTTTAATGTATAGATGGAATAGCGAAGGATGTCTCTAGAGATCTAATGAGCCTGATTCTGCCCAGTGGGTTCACAGCTGTTGTGAGATCCTCTGTTTTTACATATAAGGCAAAGAACTAAAATGGGTGAAGTTATGTTAGTGAAAAAACAACGTTCCTTCTTGTAAGGGAGGCGAGGGTTGTATCTTATCTGCAGCACTGGGGGATTAATGGGTCCCAAGAAGAAAAATCATCATGGCTGATTGGCCATGAAGCACTGCTTCTGATGTTAAAACACAGTGTAGAATATCTGACCAGAGAAGAGGTACTGAAAGTGTAATTCAAACCACGGTCTTGGTTATACCTCAGTAGTGATGCTCCTGCTTTGGGAAGGACTTGATGCTCGTGCCACGCTGAATGTTCTTTAGAGTTAGATTTAAAACTGTGCTAAAAGGGAGAGATGGAAAAATGTAGTGATAAAAACCTTCACAGTTCAT